GAAGGGTTCCTTTTTCCCCACAGCCTCTCCAACATTTGTTGTTGGGTGATTTCTTTATGATAGCCATTCTTTCAGGGGTGAGATGATATCTCAATGTGGTTTTAATTTGCATTTCACGAATGGCTAGTGATGTGTACACTGATTATTTAAATTCTGCCATAGTACTTTAAACTCTAAGAACTCCTATTCACTAACTTTTTCTTTTCTTTTTTTTTTTTTTTAGGGAAGGGTCTACAGGGTGTTCTGGGTCTCACTACTCGATCAGATGCATAGTGATCCGCCTATTTACAGCCTCCCAAAAGCTGGGATTACAGGTGCGTGCCTCCATGCCCAGTCTCAATTGCCCTCTCAGTGCACTCTGGGGGCAGGGCCGGCATGGCAGACCCAGGGATTGAACCCCAGGACCCTGCGCCTGCTTAAAAGTGCTTTTAATCCATTGAGCTATTTGGCCAGCCTAACTAAGGATAATTGATATCTCAATCCAAATAGTCTACTTCCTGATTTATAATCCAAGAACCTATGTGCATCTCAGATTTCCAAGGTACCACACATGCAACATATCAGAAACTTAACACAGTCATCCCTTTCAGGCTATAACATGTCCTAATGATGCTTAGTTCATGGATGTCACAGGAACTCTCAGTACTGTTCGAGCCTGGGTTTTACTCTTGCTACTGCCTGGTCTCATTCCTCATATTGATCCTCTCAGTCCTATTGATTTCATTCTCCTACTAGTATAGAAAATCATCACTTCCTCATGTCTCTACATAAGGAATGTGTCGCCACATTCCCATCCTCCCCAAACAGGACCCTAGAACGACCTCCTGCCTGCCCTCCCCCTTTCCAGTGCCACACTTTAACCATTCCTCCACAGGGCAGTAAGGGTCACCTCTACAAACACGAATGAAATCAAGCTGTTATCCTTCTATATAAAAACTATCGATCTAAGGAAAAAACCTGAGCAAGTCCCAGATAGGCTGTAAACTTTGGCTCCATTTTGCTCTCTGGGCTCATTTCTACCACATATTGGTTCACTCACAGAGCTTAAGCAACACTTGTTTCTTTTTTTTTCACGAGTGCTCCCCCCTCCCTTCCAGCATCTCCTTCTGGGGTGCTCTTTTTCTCTTTGCTGCATTTAGCTCCGAGCCCAGCTCACATATCCAACCTCAGGAAACTTCTGTGCCACCCCTAATTCAGCAAACTCCCCCTAATTATACTACTTATACAGCTATCTGGTTTCTAAGTCTACCAGGAAGATGGTTACACTTACGACTTAGGTACTTTTCAGGACATGCTGGGTTTCAGTAAGAAATACTTTTTTAAAAAATCCTTAAGACTGGATAAATCACCTTTGTATGGCATATCCAAGTTATAATTACACATGTATTTATGTGACTCATATACTTCTAATAGCCTACAAGCTCCCAAAGGACAGGGACTTTATATAGTTTTGTTTAGCACACTGCCACACACGTAGACGGCACAAAATAAACAGGTGTGAGTGTAAAGACAGAAGCCCAGAGGTGCAAACACATTCTACTGCCAGAAAACATCAGGGTGTTGTTTCCTTAGAACAGAAATATTTAAACAATGGGGTCTCAGGGTACTGATAAACCCTGAAAATTATATGAAAGTGTTTATGCTGATTTAATTATGCACCCATTTTTGGGTAAGGGTTAACTGAATGTTTTGTCAGATTCTCAGAGAGCTCTATTACCTGAAAAATTTAGGGACCACCGTTCTACACTCAGCCAGAATTTGGTATCTTGTATCTATCCTGTAACATACTGGCAAAATAAGAAATCTTGACACCTTTTGCAAAACATGTTTATCCTGGAATCCAAAGCAAAACAGAACTTCCTATTATTAAATTTAAATCCTTTGGATTCTTCCATCCCGATGGTGAATCTCGGTTTTAAATACCAGAGCTAATCCAGCTATGAAGAAATGTGTGCCAAGGGGCACAGGAAATGTATATGAAGATAAAACAAGACTGACAAGGACAGGGACATTTACAGAGCATTCGTAGTGGGAAGAGACAGAATAATGCGTGTTGGCTCTTATACGCCAACAGACAGCAGTGGCCGCTCTTCTCAAAATGAGCATGCCCAGTGAGAGACCTTGAAGTGACACATTGAACAGACAGAACACTATGCTCACCCAGGCAAAAAGAATCTCTTCCCAGTAAATTAAGACAGTCTTTCCCTGGAACTAGGGGAGTGAAAGGGTCCCGTATCCACTCTCCACAATGACTTCTCTGTTTCACAGAAAGCTAGCAGAGAATGTATCTCATTGTAGAAGCTATTAAGTCCAGACTGGGGAATGTACATACTACAAACAATTTCAAGCAATTAGTTTGGAAAAAAAATAATGTAAATTTTGGCATATTTTAGCACAACTTGTTAAATTCACTTTCAAATGCATTAAAATTAAAATGACTATCTGCTTAACATGTGTGATAATTTAGGGAGTGCTGACAAACTTCACTAATAACTAACGATTAAAAGCTATAAAAATCTGCCCACTGGAGTGTCAGCAAAGTCCTCTCTACCACTTATACCTCAATACACACACACACACACACACACACACTCTCTCTCTCTTTCACAGTATGCCCCCTCAGTTTTAAGTGTTTCCCAGGTTGAGGCAGCCCTTGGCATCCCTAAGAGGAAGCGCAATAAAGGCCCTATAGAGCCTTATTTAAATGCGAAATCATTATCCTCCTTTTTCTTTCCTTCCTTTTTTTCTTTTTCTAGTACTGGAAATCAAACTCAGGACCTCATGCTCCCCAGGCAAGCAAGCCACTGAGCCACATTCCCAGCCATTTTTCCAACTTTCATACCTGGTTTCGAACCTCAGATGTTCCGCCAGGGACAAGCTAACGCATTCCTCCTCACCTCAGTTTTCTCAACTGTAGAGGTCAGATAGTGATGCTAGCACTGATAATCAGCCCCACGTTGCCCCTTACTAACCCCCTCTTTCCTGACAAGCCTCAAAATCGTGTTCCTGGACTCCCTTGCCAGCTGGGTTCCAAAGAACACTCAGGTAAAACTTGAAGGCAAGAGAAAAGCAGAAGGGGCTTTACTTCTGGCACCAACCATGGCACCAACTTCAACATTCCTAAGACGCAGGAGGTCCACAGCCTTAGCCGCGCTGGACACCTGCCGAAAAGGCCCCAAGAGCAGGTGCTGCCCAGAATCTGTGGTGGGGCCACAGCAGCAAGGATCATGTGGAAGGTGGAAGTAGCTTCCCTCTCTGGATCACACGCCCCTCTTGTTTTTCAGGCCAGCGGCAGTAACAGCCACTCGATCTCTTGGCCTTCAGGACACTCTGCCTCCTGCATCCTAAATCCACTCACGCCTTTGCTTAATCCCTCTCTGCTGGAAATACCAATTCCCAAAGGTTATTATCATGATCAACATAATATACTGCAAAGAGGGCTTGGTCCTTGGAACACAGTAAGTGCCAAGCAGATGACAACTCTCGATCATTCTCTCTAGCCACCACTGGTCCTGATCTTGGTACTCTTTTCCCAGTCCCACGAGGTGAAAGTGATATAGATGCTTCTTAACTATTAAAGGGATTCAGTAAAGCTGGACTCAAACTGGAAAGTGAGAGGGAGCAAGACTCTGGGAAATTAATGCAATTAGAAGGTAACAAATGAGGAAGGTTTAACCTGCGAGAATAAATGGACAGTAAGAGAGAGAAGGGCTTTGCCTCCAAACTCATAGTTTACAGAACAAGTCTTGTTGCTTCCTTCACTTTGTAATCTAACCTTTTGAAAATTATAAAAGTTACTTCTAAAATACCAATTATACGGGCAGCCAAAGTAAAACCCAGTTCTTATGACGTACGGATGAGAGGAATTTCCCTCCTAAGCCATTTCTGCATCTGCCTTTCTTGTACCTGTCTCACTGCCCAGCCTGCTTTGCAGAGTTCAAAATCTCTAGATAAAGACTTTTTTAAAAATGAGGCATACATTGCTATAAGCATGGGTGCACGTGTATCACTGTAGTATGATGCTTTCAATTCTTCTGGAAAAATGTCCACAAGGGGAATAATAGCTGGATTGGATGAGACCTCTCAGTGTTTTGAGGAATCTCCATAGTGATTTGCACAGTTGTACCAGTTACACTCCCCCCAGTAGTGAGAAGGGTTCCTTTCACCCTGCAGCCCTGCCAGCATTTGTTATTGGCTGATTTCTTGATGACAGCCATTCTTTCTGTGGTGAGATAGAATCTCAGTGTTGCTTTAATTTGCCTTTCTCAAATGACCAACGATATTGAATATTTTCATATATTTATTTGCCATCTGTATTTCTTGCTCTGAGAAGTATGCATTCATCTCAGATGCCCATTTTTGGATTGGATGATTGAATTTTGGGGGCCTGGGGTTTTTTTTGTTTTTAATTCTTTACATGTTCTAGATGGAAGTTCTTTGTCTCCTTGCTTTGAAAGGGGTTTTCCTTATGTTTATGTATCAATATCAGTCTGGAAGACAGAGTACTCAGGTTCAGCTAAGAATACTTAACCTTTAAATGTAGTTTTATCTTCCTAGGTAGAAATATTTAAGATACACTATATAACATACACTCTATACATATTGCTAACATATATTATTTATAACGTCTATTTTTAATGTATCAATTAAGACACAGAAAGGAAGTTCAAAGCAATGTTTTTCTATAATCTTCAAAATTCTGTCTGTTTCAGATGAAAAGTGATTGCGGATCTCTAGCTTCCGTTATCCTCAGGAGACACACGACAGGCGTGAGGAGAATCCCCTAGTACAAGAGCGCGCCTGGGACCAAGGCTGCTGTTGGAAACTGCCAAGCAGAGAGCTGCGTTCAGCTTACCTTCTCCTCATGGGCTGTGCGGAGTCATTGTCACTTCCACAGGAGGGGTTTCGGCGACGTGAGCACGGGAACTTCGGGGATCTCGTGCGGTCAGTGGGAGAGTTATAGAGTCCGCTGGAGCATAAGAGGAATGGGCAACATGTCAACTTGGAAGTTTTTACAAGAACTATGAATAGGAAAACTAACATTAATGTATCACAGAGCTAAAGTTTGCACAAAATAGCTTACTCTAAGCCATCTTAATGACATTTTTCATGGTAATAAGTTTTCTCTTATGTTCTTTCAGGAAAAAGTCTCATGTTAAGAAACCTACTGTCCCCCTCAGAAATCCCCCAGCCCAGCCAATTCAGGAATCACCCCCAACTACTGCCAGCTGTGGGATTCCTTTACCCAGGGAGTTACACTTGTTAATCCCCAGCTGTTCCTCTGCTGTACATATACAAAGATTCCCTTTACCTCTGGGGGCCATTTTCTTCCCAGGGTGCATGAGATTTGCTTCTTTGGGTATCAGGACTGTTTTCATTCTTTGCTTTTTTAAAGCTTTAATTGAAAAAAAAATTAATTAGGTGAAAAATAAAAGGAAGTTAACTCACATTGATGTGTTCACTAAAATTCTTTAACAACTAATGCGAGTTGGGGGGTTGCATTTTATAACTATAACCCATTCCACGTGAAGTGGCTTCCAGCAAATATCTTTGGGCCTCCCTCCTTCTTTTAGTTTTATTGCTTTAAGTCAACAGAAGCCAAGTAGGTAGATTCCAAAGAAATTTTCAGAAAAGTCTACATCAGGATAGAAGGCAAGTGCAACCACAGAGTCCAGAAAGAGGAGCTGAAGGAAGCAGGGCACCCTCTTGCTGACAGTGGCCAGAGACTCCCCAGCTCTGGGAGGAGTCTCCTGGGTCTGAGTCACTGGTGCCCAGTCACCTCTGGGGAGGCTCCAGCTTCCTGACCTGACCTTTCCCCAGCTTCCGCTCTACCTTGGCTTCATCCTTCTAGAGCAGAGTGACTTTCAAATGTTATTTCCTGATCTAGTATCATCTTTCTGTCCCAAGAATGTAAATATAACCAAGTAGTTATTTAATCCCAACAAACTGTTTTTGAAACACACAGGGAGACACAGAGGGAGGAACACAGCAGAGGCCACCAGTCCCCTGTGGGGCAGCCATAGGAGCCACTGCTCACTTCCTCAGGAGCTTAGCAGCTGACAAAGACAGAGCTGCTTAGCTCCTAATCCACTTAGGAGGCCTGGCTGTTTGCGGGATCATCTATATAAACTGTCCAAGAACACAGCTGCAGTAGAGATCTCGATAGCCCACAAAGCCCACAAAAAGGAAAAGGGAAAAGTGACAAGGTCATTTCAAAAGATAAATTTGTATGGTAGGGTGCAGTATCCATACAGGAATTAATATACGCCTATAAAATGATATACCTGACAAAGGCGCATAGCTCAGTCTCACTAGAGAGTAGTAGGTTTCATATATATAAACATGTTACCTATATCCAGGCCCAAAAAAAACCCAAAAACCTTCTAAAGATCAAATTTCCAAAATAAAATCTTCCTTCTGAAATGAGGAATAGTAGTAAACATGGGGGAGATATAATAAACACAACAGCAGAAAGTGGGGACGTTTAATACATCAGAAAGAAAAGGCAAGAATGAAATAGAAGAGAAATAGGGCATTGAAAGAGAAATTGGGAGAGTAGAGGGTGCTTAAAACTAAAGCTCAGGTAGTAGGTTACTGGCATTTTCTCTCCTTAAGCTATTTTCCCTCTAGAGCCTGAACGGGAGTTGGCGACCCTTCAGGCGCCATCAGCAGGGATGGGCTGGAATGGAGCTCTCGCGTATTCTAAAAGGCTTGGGATATGAATTTCAAGGATGATTACTGCACTAGGGTTGGCTACACCATCAGCATATTCTGTCCGTGCAGGTGCAGCTAGGTCTATCCACGGCTGTGAGACTGACTCGGGGAAACACAGCAAATGAAAGTATTCAAAGGTAAAAAAAACTTGTCATTCCAAAAAAAGAAATGTCTTAGAAATATCAAGAAAATGTCTTAGAAATACAAGAAAAAAAAAAAATGTAGGCAAAACCCTTGGGAAAACACCACAAGTCTTAGAGTCCTTATACCTTACAATTATTTTGCCGAGGAATTATAAACCATATTCCTCAAAGTAACCACAAGCCAGGGAAATGAGGACTCCATTATTTATTAACAAAGGAGACTGAGAAGCCCTGCAGGTCACATATCTGATTGCTTAGATTTCTCTACGATGTACGCGAGGCGACCTCTAGAAAAGTGAGCTTCTGAAAGCTGCTCATTGTATGTCTAAAATGCTGTTCTGTGAACATAATTAAGGACAGAAAAAATGACTCTGAAACAGTGTCTTCACAGAGAACAAGCTGATCTTTCAGGGAAACAATCCGTGTAATATATGGAGAGGGCTTTCTGCTGGGGAATGCCGCTGGGAAAACTGGTGCGGGAGACCGTGACAACCCCTCATACATATGCAACCACTGATGGCTGAGGCCCTGACACCTCTAAATGCTATAAATCCTCTTCCGGGGGCCACAGGTCAGCATAGCACTGTAATGAACACAGTACATTAAATATAAATGCCATCTACTTTATTTCACAAGTCCCTCTGAGTCTGCGATATCACGCCACTTAAAAAAAAAAATCACACAGAATGTTCATTTTGCTGCTGAGAACACAGAGCACAGCCGATCTGAGCTCATCAGGCTGCGGCAGGGAGAGCATTTTCTTCCATGAGACAGGCAGGTCCTGAGGTCTGTATTTCCCGGGCTTCTTAAAATATTCTTTGGGTACTTCCGATTTGATTTGAAACTGTCTCATTGCTATCTGTTTATCAATAAAATTTTGAAAAAAAAATATATTCTTTGGGCCGAAGACTAGCGACTGGAGCCCAGGGATCAAAAATACTAGTTCATTACCTAGATGAAAAGATTCTTCACTTTACCAATAAAAAACATTGTTTTTACAACAGTATGAAGTTGTGTGTTTCTTCAGTTAACTACACTGACCTTTTTACTGGTGAAGGTGCAATGATTTTAGTTGTTCCCCCATTCTCTCCATTTTCCATGTTTGCAGTTACCCGGTTTAGGCTGTTTGAACCTAGTAGGAAACACAGGGAAGGAAAGATGGAAGAGAGAAGGAGATACCAGTAAGAAAAACACAAAGAATGAGGAGATTTATCATTATCATCATCCTCCTCCTCCTCCTCTTGGTACCAGGAGTCAAGCTCAAGACCTTGCACTTGCCAGGAAGGCACTTGTGCCGCTAGGCTATACCCTCAGCCCCCACAATTATTTTTAAATGCAACTTTAGAGAGGCACTGTGGCACATTTTACCAATAAATAATGAACTACCCAGTAAGTCTGGGGTATGGTTTCTAATAGACAGTCAGCCTTCGACACAACAGTGTTCCAGGGAGCTGGGTATATGACCTTTTGAGACTTTCAGAGCTACTTAAATCTCCATGAACATTCTTTCCTTTAGAATGTTAAAAACAAGTATATGTTAGTACCACACATTATAATATAAAACGTAACAATCCGTTCTTGATGACCATGTTGTGAAGAAGGTTCTCGGCATGTCACAACAGCCCCCATACAAAATCAAACTAAACAAAAACAAAAACTTCAAACCTGAAATTATCCCAACTCATGATACAAGCAAAAAAAAAAAGAGTAATAGAAATGGACTCTGTATCACTCACATAAAAAATAAAGTTTTCAAGTGCAGTTTTTACACAAAGATCCCCCGAAACTTAAAAAACTGAATTCGTAAAAGCTCTTATTCCACAGATTTGCACATGTGCTAGCAGAACCAGCAGAGGGAGCTCAGCACAGATGCAATGCTGGAAATCCTGGTCAAGTGAAAAGTAAGGGAAACAGGTTAGAGGCTTGGAAGCTGTCCTGGGCCAGCAGCTGATAAGCTTGCAGGAGAGGGATGTGGGGGCTGCGGGGAGAACTCTTCTCCAGCACCCACCCACAGTACTCTGAGAGGAAGGAGTTTTAACAAGCAGAGGAAACAGCCAGCATGGACACCCACGACCTCGTTCAGTTATGTCTATGTGGCCTGCAGGTGTCTTCCTCTGAACTCCTCTTACAGGAGGAGGTTTGTAGCTACAGCCTTGGATCCAAAACATACTCATCACTAAACTCAGAGGGCTTGAATTCTGAATGTGGCAAGCTAAGAAAAGCTAGTAGTTATTGAGTACTTACTATGCCAGTTATCGCTGCAAGCACTTCATGCGCATTTACTCATGTAAACCTCAAAACAATCCCATGAAGTAGATATGCATTTCTACAGTCGGGCTATATCCTAAGAGCCCAAAGATGATGGGCATTAGGACCAGCTCTGAAATGGGGCAGAGTGACTCTGGGGCCTTAGTGCTCAGTCACCCCAACATGTGCTTTACATCTACCACCGAGGATGCCTAACAACCATCAGAAGTTAGTTTAAATTAGGGGTCAACTGGGAGAGACAGGATCTTCAGGGGACACGTGTACATAATATCCAAGAAAGGGAATGTTTGACAGCCAAAAACCAGAAGAATCCTTTCTCTGCCGGGCAAGCAAGACCGAAAGAGAAGAGGAATCTAAACACCCCTCCAAGTTGGCGATTTCCTTCCAGTGGTATGGAGGCATGCTTGGCTATCCATTAGGAAAGATAAACATTAACAAGCATAAGTCACACAAATAAAAAACAATGCTTTCAAATAAGAATTCCAGAAACCAATATTCTCAAGAAGGTTGACATGGAATCAGCACCTGAACTTTGTTCATATTTTGTAATCCTGCACTGGAGCCAATACCAGTAACTTCATGACATCCTGAATATAGGCATTAGCAAAGAGTAGTGGTGGGGTAAATCCCACTAGTTATAATAAATGGGGCAAGACTCATTCCCTTGAACAACTCCATGTGTATCAAACAGCAGCAGTGTCATTGTCTAAGGCACTTTTGCTACAACTACAAGACCACTCAGAATCACAAGGGCAAGCTCTCAGAACTGCAGAGACCCGTTTGAGACTGAGCTGCTTCTTTTTCATGAGGTACTTTACATGGTAGAGCCTTGAGTGGAGGCAGGAGAATTCATTAGGTCCTGGAGAACAGGTGTGTCTTAACATAAATATCTTTTATTTATTTAAATGTGGTATTGTTTTAAGTATATATAACCAATTTATATCACAAATGAAAGGAATTCTCATGTAATATTTCTATTTTCCTAGCCTAAGGGCAGGAGGACACATCAGGAGAATCAGGAGAACCAATAACCACCGCCAATAACATGAATGGAAAAAATCTGAGTAAAGGTGAATATTGTACTGTAGCCAAAGGTCTGCTCCAACCCACATCTCTTCAGACTGACCAGTCTTTCTTTGTCTGACAACTGATCACTTTGGGGAAAGTAAGGCTGCTTAGCCATTTTCATCTAGTTTTGTCCCAATCAAGTCTAAAAACTAAGAGTCAGGTGCAGTGGCACATGGCTGTAATCCCTTCACTCTGGACAGTTTAGGAGAAAGGACTGCACGTTAGAGCCCTGCCTGGGGAGCTTAGTGACTTAGGGAGACCCTGGCTCAAAATAAAAAATAAGAATGTCCTGAAGAGGTCACTTAGTGAAAGGCCCTGAGTTCAATCCCAGTAGCACCAAAGAAAAAAATAATAAATAGGTAGACAGACAGTAAGACGAAACAATAGATCTGCCCATCCTCCTTCCCTCCACTGGTGGGACTTAGGGCCCTGAGACCTGCGGGAACGCTAGCAACACAGTAGGACCCTGGCTCAGGTGCATAGGAGGGACAGCTGGTACTAGAGGTGAGGAAATGTCCCATGCAGCAATAGGAGCCAACAGGCAATAAGTTAGGAGAACCAGTGTTGCACTTGGGGACAGCGACAAGGAATGGAAATGGATGGTTAGGGCTACCCTCTTCTCTTTTCTTTCTTTCTTTTTTTGTTTGTTTGTTTTTTCTTTTCCAAATGAATGGAGAGAACTCCAGTCACAAAAAACTAATCCCATCCCCCAAATCCAGAGGTAAAGAACAGACTCAAACTAGCACAAATTGACCTACAACCTTGGTGACAGCATATATTTCCGGGACCTGAACTGGACCTATCACAGAACTGTAGACATGAGAAATTTTACGACTTTCATTTTTCTCTGTCTGATTGATTTCCCTCTTGCTATTAGTATTTTGCTTTCTGTTTCATTTTGTTTGTGCATTTTTGTTGTTTGTTTCTTTGTTTTCTCTTCTTTGTTCTGTTTTGTCTTGCTGGTTTTTTGGTTTTTTGTTTCTCTGTTTTTTGGTGGGTTTTTTTTCTGGTATGTGAGGATATTTTTGCTTATTGTTTTTAATTTTTTATTTTCAGTTTTTTCTTTTTTTGTTCCTTTTTTCTCGCATTTATGATTTAGAATTCTAACCTTCCTTTTTGTTTTATTCCACTCATCGTCTTCTCTTTCAAGAACCATGTGACTTGACTTTATAATACGTTCCTGTGAGTAAACATTATCTCTTCTTTTTCTGGTTCATTTTAAAACTCCTAGGCCTTCATCTCCATTCCTTCCCTCCTATGTCCTACAATTTCCTGGATGATCATTCTGTGCCCTCCAAACTTGCTCCTACAATACTTAACCTTGGCCTGCCAGATAGTTCAGTGGACTAAAGTGCCTGCTTAAGCAGAGCATGGAGGACCAGGGTTCGATCCCCATGCCATGCTGGCCCTACCCCTAGGGCATGCTGAGATAGTGACTGAGACTGGGCATGGTGGTACTCATCTGTAATCTCAGTGCTAGAAAGGCTGAAAACAGGAGGATCACTATGATCCGATCTGTGTAGTGAGACCCTGTAGACCCTATACTACATACATAAGAAAACCTTAATCTCATTCACCTCTGCATATTACCCCCATCCTTTATCCTCCCAAACTACCTCCCCATTAAAAAAGGATAAAATCACTCCACTAAGTGGAAAATCATTGCATACAAGTTCCTGGTATAAATTGGATATTATATTTCTGCAGACTTTCCTCATATGGCTATAGATACCAGGCTAACAGTTACCACAATTTGTCAGTAGCCAGGCTATACTTGAGTCTATTTTTACTGTAAACTAAATTACTTTAACCAGGGTTTTATATGTGCTATAACCAATTTCCCCCCATATGACAACACTGTGATTGTAAGGGGTCATAACCATGAACATAGTCTAGTACCAAAGGAATGGGTCCTAAGTCAAGTTGATACCAAATCCCAAGGCTTAATATATTGAGAAGGTAGGTTCTTGGGATAAATAGAAAGACCAAGAAGCACCTACGTCTAGAAGACATCGAGAGGAACAGACACCTCCTCAGAAAGCCTCAATATCAGTAATACGACTATCTAACACAAGAAATCTATAAGTATCAACACAGAAAACAAAATAAAATAGAAAATGACAAGGAAAAAAAAAGCAAACAGCAACCCCAAACACCCAGCCCACCCAGGACAAGTCCAAAGCAAAAGAGCTAGAGGAAATTGGAAGCCAACAAATGGAGGTCTCTGAAATGATAGCAGTAGAAGTGGAAAAAAAAATGAAGAGGTCACAGAAAAAATAATTTCTAAGGTGCAAAAAGAAATGACTATCAAAATAAGATATTAAAGCAGACACAGATAAACAAAGAGGAAAATGATGGAAACCATAAATGCCAAACTGAACAAGAAGTGGAATCCTTATCAGTTATAACCATCAACATAAATGGTCTCAACTCACCTACCTAAAGAAACAGGCAGAATGGATCAAGAAGCAAAATCCAACAATATGCTACATTCAAGAAACACATTTAACCTAAAAGAAATTCAAAGACTAAGGATGGAAAATAATTCTGCATGCCAGAGGAACCCAGAAAAAAGCTGGGGTTGCTATTCTATTTGCAGACAATGCAAATTTTAAGCCAAAAAATGATCAAAAGAAACAAAGGTCACTACACACTTATTAAGGAAAAAATACTCCAAGAAGAGATAATAATCATAAACATTTATGCATCCAAAACAGGTTCACACAAACTTCATAAAACAATTATTAATAGATATGAAAAGCCTAATAAGCACTAACACAATTGTAGTGGGGAACC